GGTATACGCAGAAGCTAGACTGCGCGAAGAGTAAGGCTTCATACGTTCAAAATTGGAAATTACTATTCATCGATGGTCAATTCTGTGACAACAAGTACAGTGTCTCGGAACGAGGGACGTTTTATTGCTGCCTACTCGCTCGATGTATCCTTTCAATATGTACGAACGGAACGTTTACTTCCATTTCCGAAGTAGTTCGAGCTCTCGTCTCAACTAACTTTTGAGATAGATTAGTCTTTTACGCACAAACTGGACATTATCCGGTAAATTCAGCCTGCTTTTTTGCCAAGAGAGTGACAGTTGTTACTGTCCTTTTATGAGTTCAACGGAGCATCGCGCAATAGTTAGTGCCCGTTTATGCTCTAATTAGTGACTCGCAGTCGTTATTGAAGTGTATGAAAGCTCCTAGTCGTATAGCCTCTTAATGTCGTACGCATGTCCTCTTCTCAATCTACAAAACAGGGATAAAAAGCGTTCTTTTTTAGTCTGTCACGTGAAGATCCTAGCAGTATCTACCCAGAAATGTTCTCACGGCAAACGGTTCCCTCTTTCCACTCAGACATTGGTCACGTACTCAATGAGCTTACGTGTTATCATTCCCAATGAGTATGCCAACATCGCAGTCAGTCAGCTTGTCGAACATTATACCGTTCAGGTGTGGCCACGAAGAGGCTGTCATTTTAAATAACGGTTCTGCACGGAGTGGCAAGTCTTCAACCACTTAAACCCTTTCAATCTCGGTTGACTCAGTTCAATTCATAGGCAGCACTTTTAGACTTTTGACCTTCAAATAGCATTCATTTGAGCCACTTATGGTGCTTGTTGCCAACGCCGTTGACATTGTGAGTACTCCGTTGTTGACGTGAAGCTCTCTTTTAATCAAGATGACATCTGAGCCCCTGTCTAAAAATGCCCAAGTTCTGACGTTTCCTTTTGGAGTTGCCACTCGGTGGGCATAAATGCCAGCCGTGATGATACATACGCAATTCCAGTCGTGGCACATAGCCCTTCATCTTGCAATGCCCGCCGATCGTTCTCCGATGACACATCATGGAAAAAGGTATGACGACGCCTTGTGCACCCGACTTACCACAAAGTCCAGTAGAGCCGCACACCTTGGCAAAATGCGTATTACCACGACAAAAAACACGCTTAATGTTCCCGCATACAATTCCACATATCTGCGACACCCACCAAAAATTGACGTGGGCAATCTGCCACTTCGTGTGCTTGAGAACACATGTAACATGACCGTCGATCTGGTTCGACACTCGAAATGACAAAATTGTTAAAGTTCTCTCGTTTTTGTTGCTGAGCAGTGACAATAAAGGGTTGTTGACTGCGCTTGACATCCTTATCTCGAGATATTTGGCCGAAACGCCCTCTCGCTATCCTTGTTCGAGTATGTACGCATTCTGTGGGGTCTGCGAAATCTGTGTCTCTAAAATTCTGCCGGCCACTTTGGCTCACTCGCTTTGCATAAAGAACGGTGGACAGCACGCTATCCGCTGCAGGACATTCAGCGACTGTAGGTTGGATACTTAGTTCAGTTGTGTGGGTGTTATTTCACAAATTTTCCTTTTGCGCACAAATCTGAAATTCCTTTGCGGTCTGGCTTACTTGGCGTACCTGCCTGAAGACATCACCCAGATGAGAACAAGCTACAAAATCTGGTTGACCAAATAAGTTGTTCACTTTTTCCCGTGCTCTTGAATAGGCTAACGGTGAGGGCAACATAGCGAATTCTTTTATTACAGCCCTCGCATCACCCCGCAATAATGTGTCAAATACAAGAGCCTCTGTCCAGCATATTCAACTTTCTCTCCACGTACACTTCAAACTGACTTATAAATTTAAAGTACTTAGTTTAGCTCAGGTTATTGCAGGAAATAACCGTGAGCCTTTGAATACCCTGTTCGCAGCGTAAAACTGGGTGCGGTCAACAGATAAAATATCTTGGCTGAAATAATTCAAACAATTCCATAATGTTATGACAAAATGGGAGCGAGGCTCAGGGATGAGCTGGATCTCTCGTCGCTCTTGTTTATTTCGGAACATAAATATGTCAAGGTTTCTTTTAAAACTGTGTATCGATGGTGACATCACGACATCTGCCGGGAAGGCATTCCATGGTTTGATCACTCAGACAATGTAGAAGAACTTCTGCACATCCAAATTTTCCTGCTGATTGCGCAATTTTAACGGTTGACCTCGGACGTAGGTCGTGGTAGCGAATTCAAAAAGTTCTCAAAGACCAAGATGCAGTCCAGCTGATTTATTATGTGAAATGCTTGCAAGAGCTATCCGCAAAGTTGTCTGTAACTCTAAGGGAAGACGTTCAGAATTATAAGAGGGTTAAATAAGGGAAGGAGCTTTGGCCCTTAACCGTCTTTGTGGCTTTCCTCTTAACTCTTTCGAGGCAATTTCGATCTCGAACCGCCAACGGCCTTCAGACTTATACGCCGTAGTCCAAGTGCGGCTGCATGAATGTTCCCAAAGTCTCTGAGAAAGCGTCCTCATGAAAATCTGTAAATGTCCGCTTGATGACGTGCAGAACAGATATTGCGTTTTTGCCACTCTCGAAGAATGAGTGAATGGTTTCAGGGAGTTCGTCGTCAGCACACCGAAATCCTTTTGGTCTTTGACGTCTCGTATGGCCGCACCGCCCAGGAAGTAGTCTCTTGTGCTGTCTGATCTGTCTGTGTTGATTAGGCGAAGTCTGTTACGCTTACCAACGTTGAACTGAAGTAGCCAACGAGTTGGCCACTCTTCCAAACGATTTAGGTTCAGCTGCAGTCTGTCTTCGTCGGCAGGGCCCCGAATTACAGTCCATATCTTCATGTCATCAGCAAAAATTGATGCTTCGCAGTTTGAAGATTTTGCGTTGGGTTGCTGTCAAAACAGGGCAATTCAACCTTGGACAGTTCTAAACTGACAATTGTTAAACTCCTAGTACTTGCTTTGTGCATATCGACATTCTCACGCTGGCAATGATTACCCTCTCCAGGACATATTTCATTCAATGTCCATTGCTTCAAATATCCTGTGGTACGTGCAGCTGAAGGTAAATGCCGTCGGTCGTCACTGGACGTTTTTTCGTCGGTCTCTACCTCTATCTTAGCAAGCTTGGCCCTTCTTTCGGCATAAAAGCAACCCGTTGAAGTTTGGCCTTAGACTTTACCCGCCTCTCTTCAGTTTCTGTTATTCTCAAAGCTTTAACTGTTCCGCTGGAACCGCGATTACTAATAGAAACAGTCTTACAAGAGCCGAATTGAGCATTCTTCATGAATTCTCCTTGTCCTTCAGAGGCATCTGGTCCGTCTAGTCCTAAAGTCTGTTCCGTAACTCTCGCTTCATGCTTCATCAAACACGTTCGCATTTCATAAAACCAATTCCGTTCAATGTATGGTGTGATGTTGAGTAGTGCTTGATTCTTTCATAGGCTGAGCGACGCGTAGAAGCCAAAAAATAAATATTGGTGTATATATAGTACTATTGATAGGATAAAGGTAAGAATAAAAAACGTACAAACCTCAATAACGGATACCCTGGCCAGAGAATTCCTTTTTTGATACATCACAGACTAAACAGTTTGTTTGAACGTAGGGGAGGGCACGGAGGCGAGGACTCAGGATGGGGATGGTGTGATGAAGCGCCAGTGAAGACGCCGGCGCTTCCTTCCACTCGCAGTCGCTGACCCCTCATCGCAGCAGTTACTGTCTGTTTGGTTCGTCATATATTCTCTCTCACTCAATGTCAGCATCTCTGCTTCCCTCCAATGCAGTTGCCTCCAGCGCCGCACTCCTCACCAGTGGTCTAACAGACACAGCAAAACACTTCCCACTCCACGGAGAACGTAGTGCATACACAGTCACTTTTCCTCAAAAGGGAAAAAAGAATGTTAACAGGGAGCCAAAAGTGGAAGTACTTGCGCAAGGGGCGTGGCGAATTCCAAACGCGGACCAGCAAGATACAACAGATAATGTCTAAAGCTAGGGAGAGAGTACCATAACGTCACTCAATTCCTGCCAAAGTAAAAGCTCCCACACATATTTTGGCGTAGAATGGCTCCTCTGCAACCTCTTTAAGGAGTTCACCAGGCTTAAACGGAATTGTAAATCTGTAGTTCATCCGGTTGGATGACGTCTTCTTAAATTGTGGGTAAAAAGATGAAATAAAACAAAATCTTCATATAAAATATTATATCAGAGCACGAGAAGACGCTTTGAAGTGTTGTACATTACAAAAAAGACGTAACAGCCTTCAGTCCGAGTTTTATGTTACTAGGTTTGATTTTCTCGTTGTTCCCCTTCCTCGTATCACTTGTTAGTTAATTTTTGTTGTGGTTGTTATCCATAATCACGCCTTCTGTTTTCGACATGTTTTCTGGTGGTAAGTTAGTGCCCTTATAGTTACTGTGTGTAGTTTTGTTGTATTGTGCTATCCTTTGGGAATTTTCTTAGCTAACATATTTTTCTTCCGGTTACGCCCCCTCTAGTTACGGCGGGTAGTGCTAGCGTACCTGTTGCTAACCATCCCCTCCAAGAGTACACCAGCACTCAGCGGACACTTAATACCCTTGCGTATTTTCTGAGGAAACCACAATATGTTGGAGTTTGGATTTGAGACGGTGCCGGACTTTTTTGCCTTAGGCGAGTCTGGCATAATCCGAGAATACGGTGTAAATGATGGAACCCATTTTGTCAAATCGACATCCTTGAGTAAAAATGTCAGTTCGTTTTGTGAAAAGTGCACCCCAAAATATGCCATCCCCTGTTAATTGTTTACAAGCTGCCAAACGAAAATGCAACATTCATGAGCTATTGTTTAAACTCGCCAATGAGCAAAACGGACGGTTTTTCGTTTCGGTTTCGGAACTTCTAGAGTACGCTGGTGTACGCTGTTGGCTCGTATTCTGACTTCCAGATAAACGGTTGAATCTGATAAAATTTGAAAATATCTACGGAGGGTCTAAGTTTCACTTCTAACCTGGCATAGTGATGGAGGAAGACGTTCCTGATTTCGCTGATCAATGCGGTTCCACCTCGTTTTTGGAAAGCTTCAATATTGATACAGGCAAGCTTTAAAATTATTAGACCTGTCAATGGTGAAGCTGTATTTTTAAATATTCGCGATTTCGGCCAGTAGTTATCCATTATTTATTTGCTAAATATTTCTACTGTTTACAGCTTAGTAGTATTGGCAGTATTCATTTAAGTGGGCAAGATCTCCTGGCCGCCGTAGTCCCATGAGGTTTGGGCGAAGCCCTCAGACAGTTAGCTTGCCGACATTTATTCCTGCCTTTTGTCCCTTCGTTATTTTTAGATTCGGAGGCGGCACCCCATTTCATTGTAAATCTAGACTGTAAGTCCACCCCTTTCAGTAACACAATTTTTGTAGCATTTGCCGAGGGCTCGGAGCCCCCAGTTCCCCAGCCACCGACCCCTGCGGTCGAATCTACTGCACAAACCGCCGAAGCTCCACAACCACCTACCAGCATTCCCGTTCCTGAAGTACCCTCGTATTCCTCCTACGTCCGCGTTGGCAAACCAAAGGGTCGCGCCCGGGGATCGTACAAGCCCCTAAACGAGATGTAAAAGCCCTTTTTATTTTACCTTAGATCGAACTGACGAATGCTTTCCAAGCGCGCTTGTTCATCTTTCCTCATGGCACCTATTCCGACGGGGTTCACCAGACGCAGCTTTAGGCTCGCGATGCGCCTGTAAGCTAATGGGTCCAATAAGGGTTCGTGAAGCTTCGGAGGTTCGGCTTCCTATCGAGTCCTCTATCCTTACCCAGCAGTTCCGGACCAAAGAACGCTATTTCCACATTTTATCAGCAATATGATGTCGCTCCAAAAGCGACATTGTGTTAGTGGACGCCCTCTTTCATGATATGCTGCTTAGAAATCGCGCCTGCACAGCGTAGCAGAGAGGTCGGGGGATGGATACTATGCGTTCATTTCACATTTGTCTGAAAAGCAGCAGGCACAAGCTTTAAGACGTTTTTTCCTATGTCTTATCCATTTGCTCAATCTAGAGGACTTATTAATGGTTTCCTTGGCCAGACGGCGCTCCACACGCATAGTGAGGGTTCCCCGCGTAGTATTATCTCCATAGGCATCATCGAGATGAAACAACAGTTTATCTGCCAGGCATAGTACAGAAGATTCTTTGCTTGGTTTCGAACAGCGTTGGTAGAATTCAGAAAGTTTGAGCCGTCATTGTAGCATTACCGTCGATACGCGTCTTTTCGCCCAGTGAGTACGCACCATACCGGTATCATCTGGCTCGTTAGTAGACTTCGCACTTTTCCGCACAGTATCCTTGCTTCGTGGCATAATATAAACACCAGTTTGGGGTCATCGCGGTTCTCACACCCAAATGGTTTTTACATAGTTCCAAAAAGCCGTTACCTTAGACTTTTGTATAACTTATATCCGTATTTGCAGCCGCTTAGCACTTACCACGTCAGTGTACTTAGCACTGTTAAAATCGTTTATTGTTCCTCCAGGGTTGAAACCAGAATTCGTACCTATGAGGGGGCTGACTCTCATACCAAGATCTCGACACTTATGCAACATTTCCCGTCGTTCAGGCGGAGCATAATCGACAAATGCTTCACAAAAAACTTATTGAACTTCGAAGAAACATACAAAGAGCTGTACGCCATGCACAAGCAACAACAGGAAGCTCTAAGCAAAATACGCCTGGTTTTGACCCCGAAAGGTAAGTTTTAAAGCTCCCGGCCTTTTCTAAGGACCGGTAAGGTTCCGTTTACTTAATAAGTCCAAATACCAGGCGGACAAATTCCCATTACATGTTTTTGCCTTTATTTCAATTTTGCCCAGCCGATTACTGTCAGGTCGCTATCGACAATCGAATGTACTGGATTTGCAAAGCGTTCCGCTTCGTCTTTAGAAGATTTGACTAAGTATAAAGCCTCCTTAATGCATGGATCTAAGTGGCCTTCCACGATCTGATCGTGACGACCCCCTTTTCTGTGTTCAATATGAACTCGGTCTTTTTTCTTAGCCTACCAGTACAACTGATCCAAAGCAAGGATTTACAAATAGCCAATCTAGTATATTCAATGGCAAATAAGTTATCCAGTAACGGACTTTTCATGTGATTTTTGTCAGCTTGGACTGTTCTGTAAACGCATATCATCCTCAGACGGATGGTTGATTGATATCAACTGTTGTTCTTGCGTATTTTGTGCTAGAGCTGTTCCAAGCTTAACTATCGGCCGTCATTCGTTTGGGGTCATTTTACTCTTCGTTCCTCTCGGAACGTTTATTTGTGCTGATTGTTATGGGGGTGTCTGGCACTTGCGAGAAGTCAGGACGGCGACTTCGAAAGGGTTCCCTCGTGAGGACCATGCCTTCTTCATGCGGTCACGTTCGTAAGTGACCATGTTACTTCTACTGAAAAGTACCAAGTAACAAGACCAGACAATGTAGAATAGTTAGTCATTTGTCATCGGCTTTCCGATAAATCACCCGTCTAGAGTGTAGTTATCGCTTTGCCATGTGTCCGAAGCGCTCCTTTGTACACTGGATTCTGTTTGAAAGGGTTGCTTTTGTTTTTATGCTGTTCTAGTCCAAAAGCCGAAGAAGACTAGGATTATTCCAAACATCAAGGCACCAGAACTTATCAACACACCTTTTGTCCGTGGTCGTCCGAGCCGGAGATCTGGGAATCGCTATTATAGACGCGTAATAGTTGGCAAAGATGGATCTGTTGAGTCGGCTGAGGTGACCGAGAAGAACTACATTCGCAACTCGGACGCGTTCCGCACTTTGCCTCCGAACCCCGTTTACGGTGACACGAAGGTATTTCCATCTGTATCCATTTGATTGTGACAGCATCCATAATAAAGTCTTCATCTACCTCTACACATAGCTAGATATTTGCTGATTGAGTGAATCGTGAGATCTCTGGCAGCTGTTTGTTCGATCCACTAAAAATTCCACTATCAAATGTTGTCTGTGACATTACCCGTTACGCCGCTTGACCGCTGAGGTCTTTTCTGGTGTACTTGGCTCAAGGTGACCAACTTGACGTTTGAGACTGGCGCCTGCGCTACACAGTCCTGTAAATGAACCAGGACTACGTCCTTTGCCACAGCAATTTCAAGGTCTTTATGGATACCAGACTCATGAGAATTAACAACAGGGCTTAGTTCTACGTGTTTAACTCCCAGAGGTTGACGAGGACAGGCTTTACAAATTCCGTTATTATGAGACAGATCCAGATTACCGACGGCATCCGTTACCAGATTAGCAATTATATGACGTTTATCACGAAGCCTGTTTTCCAGCATAAGTTGTTTCGCAATTTATTCTATTGTCGACTTCAAATATGTGCTTTTCAGCCAGTAACCCCCTCAACAATTTCATCGGCCGCCCGTGTGGAGACTGTCCAACATCCTGATGTCCCTCAGTTAGCACCGGAGCCCAGGGTCGGTACTCCTCTGCTTTTATACTTTCAATTAGATTTTTATACATGGTTGCAATTGTTTAAGACATGCGAGGGGCATAAAATCATGACGATTTTTGGCAGTCGAACACTTACTTGCTTCTAACGCATGCCCCATTATTTTGTTCCTTATCTCGCTTAGGTTGCTGCCCAAGCAGATATGTCAACGACAGCTGCCACGTCTTCGGTTTCTGCTGACGAGCAACCAGACCAACCCACCACTGCTATGGGTGCTACTACTCAGCAGCCTAACCAACCGCCTAGTGGCAACAGATTTTTCCGCAGTAATCGTATTTCCGATGCTGAAATGAAAAAGCGTGAGTACGTTGCCAAAGAATTACAGGGTCCAGCAAATGCCCGCGTCCAGCTCCTTCGATCGTCTAAAGCTGAAGCCGAACCTGGTGAGGGTGTGGAAGAGTCTGCCGCAAACTTCATGGCTGGCGTCGGCGTTGTTAGCACTCCCAATGGTAAGACCGGAGCTTGAACTCTGTTTGTGGAAGGCTTTGTTTTTTTTCTCTTGTCTTCTCCCCGAAGAATGTGTTTTCAAGAGCTATTTGTTTTTTGCAGCCAGCCGACGACGTGGAAAGAGGACCCGCGGAAAGGCAAACGATTTAAGCTCTGCTGCTGAGCAGGGACAAGACGCACAAGACGATATTGATGATGTAAGTAAAAAAATTAGTTTTAATCAAATGACGCAATTCAATTGCCTGACCAAGCCGGCTTGAAAAGAATCTATCTCGTCATTCAAAACCTTTACATTCCAATTAACACTGAGGGATGTTTTGTTTGATTGCATGCTTCACATTTACTTTTCAAAGCAATTTTTTGTTGTCTTGAGACGATTTTTGAGCAGCCAATGATTTCGCAACGCCCAATTTAATACCTAGACAATTCACTCGAATTTGTATGGAAGACGGCATCTTCGATCCGCCATTATTTTTTTAGGAAGGTTTCGTTTTTTTCCGCCGATAATAAGAAGTGGTGGACAGGGTCCGTTGACCCTTGGCATTACTGAAACTTTTAAGCGCTTAAGATCGAGTTTATCTGTGGTCCTTTGTGAGTTGGACACCCTTTATTTTGCCGCCATGGTTTCTTTTCCTCCCCTTTTCTGTCTAATAAGTACATCACCCGTTTTCGCCTGACCAGGCTCCTAAGAAAACATTCGCTTTTTTGCCTCCTAAGGGCCTAGATCTAATTTCAGAGGAGAGGCTTCTCCTAATGTCATTCTTCAATGAGGCACCCGCGGAAGAACTGTCTCTCATGCCCGGCTGTTCCCAAAAGACTGCCGAAATCATCATTAACCTCAGACCCTTCAAGAATTCCACAGACTTAAAGCTCCGGTTGGACTCCACTAGACATCTTTCTACCAACCTTATTGACTCATTCAAGGAGCTTATGCATACTCGGTCCATGTTCTCATCTCTCTTAAACAGTTGTGAGGACATCAGCATTCGAGTTTTAGAGCGTTTAAAGAATCTTCTGGCAGACTGTGTCAATCTTCCGATCCCCGAGACGACTGATGCAAGGGGCGACTCCGAAGGATTCCTACGCAAGGAAAAAATGGACATTCTACGCGAGCAGCCTGTCATTTTACATCCACTGTAAGGCTGCCGTCTTTTTCGAGCGATTTTCAAACCAATTCTATTTTGCTCTTTAAAAAACTTGCATTTAATGTCATTGACTCGAAAGTGCATTCCAGTATATTTACTTGTGAACTTAAGGTTTTAAATCTAAGTGTTTGCCAAACTAAGACTCCATTAGATATTTGGTGGTGTCAGTCAAGGCGTCATTCCTCAAAACGCATCTCTTAGTCTGACTCGATCTGGTTTATCTCGGGTGCACCGCAAATTTTTCGGAACACCGCTTGTGGTCTTTTACGGATCTGCGGTATTCCTTGATAATCTTGCCGCCGGCGTTTCGTATGCTTTCACCGACCGCATCCCTCTATTGCTCGGCAAACAGGTGCAGTCTTTGTGTTTTACCCGGAGTTTACTGGCGTCCGAGTATTTTCTGAATTTCGTCGCCGGCTGACTTTATACTGAATACTTGACTCTTCATTTTGGTAATTGCACGGTTCTGATGAAGGACGTCCTCACCGTCACATTTTAGACTTATCATTTATTTACTTATGAAGGAGGATGAAGACACGGACATCTATGTTGGGGGCACTTGTTGCGATTCATCCGAGCGCCTTGGACGGTTGCGCCGTTGCGCGACCCGAAAGTGTCATCACGTTTCCTCCCCAAAATCACTCGACCTGCACAATGCGCGTGCTCAGAATGACTCAGTGACTGCGCATTTTCATCAGAAATTTGCAAACTGGAATATCACACGTTAATGTCTTCTTCCGCAGTCCTTGCCACGCGCTACACCCGCTATTGCCGCACCGTAAACATAGGCATTTCCACATCAGGCGAACTTTTTTCGGATGTCACCCTTATGGTGTTCGTCAGTTATCCCTTCCTAACTTAGTGTGCCTGACACCTCTTATTCATAGGCGCCAGCTGAAGCCCTATCAACTGGTGGGCCTAAACTGGCTCCGAATATTGCACGAAGAGCACGTCAACGGTATTCTGGCTGACGAAATGGGCCTGGGCAAAACCGTTCAGGCCATTGCCTTTCTGGCCTATCTCTGGGAAAACGGAGAACGCGGTCCGCACCTCATTGTCTGCCCAAGCTCAACAGTTGACAACTGGAAGCGAGAACTGCACAATTGGTGTTCTCAGTTGAAGGTGCTAGTCTACCAAGGTGCGGCTGACCAGCGCAAGGCCATGCGTCTAAAGATTTACGAAAGCGGCAACAAACCTGACTTCAATATACTACTGACGAGGTAGGTACAGCCTATTCACTCATGTACCCCTCTCGTCGTCTCGTTATTTTATACTCTCCTGTTATCCTTAGCTACAATGTGGCCACCGGCACCTTGGAGGACCGCGCCCTGATGAAACGCGTCGATTTCCGCTACGGAATTTTTGACGAGGGTCACATGTTGAAAAACATGACCACTCAACGCTATAAAACTATCTCCAGCTTCCAAATCCAGCGTCGTCTTCTGCTGACCGGGACCCCGCTCCAGAACAATTTAATGGAGCTCATCTCGCTTCTGGCTTTTGTTATGCCCGACTTGTTTCTGAATAATTCAGAACACCTAAAGCGAATATTCCAGTTGATGGGGAAGTCGGTATCCGAAGAGCCCGCCCCAACGAAATCAAAACAGTCAAAGGAGGCAGAAAGTATCAAGGATGGTGAGGATGCTCCCGGAAAATCATCCGTTCTGCTGCCTAACAGAAGCCAATTTGAGTGTGAGCGTGTGGAGCAAGCAAAGAAATTCTTGCAACCGTTCTGTCTCCGTCGTTTGAAATCACAGGTACCTTTTCCTCTTTTTCCAGACTTTTCTCACCCACTTCCGTATTTTGTCAAGATACCACCTGCAATACTTGCGGTGCGAATTCCTGCATTTTTTTAGCATGCTCCATTATCTAGACCTTTTCGTTACCTTATTTGACCTCGCAGTCTAGTTTATATTAACCAACCGGACCAGCACCTATCACACACCACTATCCCCACGGTACGCGCATGCACAACGGTCTGGAACATTACACATCGTTTGGATCTATTCCAACAATTTCGGTCTCCGTATAGATCCTTCCAGTCATGTGCGCACACATTGGAATCATCATCATTCATGCACTACGAAGCTTGCCACTGTCGACAATTACAAGCCAACAATCATGTGTGCGTGTATGCACGCGCTTCGTACGCGGTAGCTGAAGGTCCTGCCCCACGCCAGCCACTACGTCCAATCTCATCACCAGTTGGCCGACAGGCTGCTTTTGTATTGCGGAAGAGAGAGAGAGAGAGAGAGAGAGGCCGATACCAAAGTAATCTCCCCCAGTAATTCGACGCATTAGATCATTATAAAAAGTAGGGTATTCGTGGATCTATCACAACGCCCTAACAGTCGCGACGTCTAAGCCTGCCAATTGACAGCAAAACTCACTTCTATTTTGGTCTGAAGCCTAGTCTGCTATGTCTTTTAATGAGCATCAGCAGTCAGTCTCATGATCCGTACCTGACCAACTGTTTCCCCAACGTTGCTGTGGTCCTCGTAGAGTTCGACGAACGAGCTATTTTCTATATACTTGCTTCTTTTTACACTTTCTACTTCCAGTACTGACTTAGCTGACGCCGGCGTCCACGGAGTTACGAACCAGTGCGTCCCGTGCTTTGCGATCCCCGGCTAGATTCGCAGCCATCTTTGCACAGTCAGCTCCCCATTCGTCAACGCCGAAAACCGTTGGGTCTAGCATCATCATCAGACCTGACTTGACGCTTGTTACTGAGTTTGCGCTTGTAAACCAAGCAGTGCGCCGTTGTTGTGTGCCAGATTGGAATGGGGCCATATTGGCTCATGACATGTTTAAGTCAGGATGTCCACAGTCTGCTTGAGCCCTCAACTATTGGCTTTCATGCGTAGGACACGTGTTAGACGGGAGTTCAGTCCCATTTTGGCCACTGCACCCAGCGTCATCACCAGTCGGCCGGCAGACTCGTACAGGCCACTAGCACATTGGAGGGGAAGGCGAGGGCTAGGTCGGTCAAGTTCGAATCATGCACTTAATTTCCTCACAGTATGCAACTAAACACTTCAACTGATATAGCGCATCAACAGCCTTGGTTTGGTAGGTTGTCAGCTAACTCTGGAAGACAAACTCACCCGTTAGCCTGGATGCCAACTACCCGACATGTCCTCGGGTAGCGGACGATCGAACGGCCTTCAGCGAAGGTTAACCACGCCTGCCCATTTTGAATGTAACTATCCATGCCGATATTACTTGTTGCCGGACTCAGCCTAGACGACTATCCAGCCATCTTATTGGCCCCTTTGGATTCTGTTCTCCATATGATAACAGCGCGTGTTGAACTGTGTGGTATCGCGAGTCAAACTCAACCTGTCTGCTCCCAAACTGAGAAGGCTAAACTTTTCTTTAGCTGCAGAGGAGACATCCCTCAAAACCAAAGACTCGCCTTGCAGTAGTTAACAGTTTCATACCCTGTGACGAAGTTGTCAAATAAACAGAACGGACGACATAGTCTGTCGAATCGATTTTACTATCAGGGTTTTCGCAATCCACAGTTTCTGTGGGCTTTACGTGATACCTCTACCACTAAAGAGACCCTTGTGTGCCGAGTATCCGTCCGTTCAGTCCCACAAGGTTGTGGTTGTTAGGCTCTGCTCGGAGAGAGCGAGCAAAAATTCAAAATGTTTGTCCGAGAACCGTTCCTCGAGTAAAATGCACCGACTTGTTCTCGTATGGGACAGTCCGCACTCAGTGCCTCAACGTCGCGAAGATATCCCAGGCCACCCAAGAAAGGAGGCTGTGGCTTGGGCACGTTTTTCGTCCGCGTTCAATGTGGCCCCTGATCCGGCACCGGCGTCCGCCTGGAGGTCTGCTCAAAATCTGACACAGCAGTCCATGAAAGCGTGAAGGCGGTTTTTGTACCTTCATTATTCGCCCTCTCGTTCCTGGAAAATCGAGCTCCTCGTATTCACTGCTCAGATCGTCACGCATGGAGAGGTACGATCCGCGGCGTCGAGACCGAGTAGATCATACTTGCTCAGTCGTACCAGGTGCAAGTGAATAAATTACCAGCTTACTTATTCCTCTTCCGGATTGAAAGCCAGGCTACAGGGGCTCTTTAATGTGACTTTTACTGGAACTATCTCATGAGAGATCCCGAAACCCCTTTGAAGACTGGCTGATGTTAAGCGTGTGACCATGACGTGTGTNTAAGTGCGAAACTAAAAAGCTAGACAGATCTCGCGCCGCAAGTCGGTTTTACTATAAGCAGACTAAAGCTTAATTCAACTTTGCGCCCTTCGACTCAGTGGTGGTTCTCGGCGCACACGAAGCACAGACTATCGGGCTTACACCTGCGGTAGCTCAGGCGCCTCTGAATGCCAAATTCCGGAGTCCGGACTTAAGCGAATTTGCCTTGAATTCAGGTTACGAAAATCCCTTGATCTCCAAGTCTTAGAGCTGTTGAGGCTGGTTTACACGTAGTGCAGGGTATAACCGCGAAGTATGTTGTCGGATTTGTCCTAATCGTGTTGTAACCACAACAAAACCACTCTCTTTTTTGGCTTCTCATCCGAATTTCGTATGTAGCGATAACCCGACCTCACCTTTATGTTTTTGTACTGGACGGCTGCCGACCACAACCGCGGCACCGAACAGTGCTTAACTAAGTTCTGTCTTAAATTTGCTAATTGTCTTCTCTCGATAGGTTTTGCATCAACTGCCGCCGAAAACAGAAGAGACTGTTTATGTGCCGCTGACTGAGAGTCAGCGCAAGAGCTACTTAGACCTGATTGATAAATTCCGCAACGCCCAACCGGATACAATGGCTGAAGAAGAGGACCTGAGTGAGGAGGCCGTCGGTCCCATGAGCCGTCTGCTGAATAATAACCCAAACAGCAAGTCCACTGCTAATGGCGAAGTGGAGCATGCAGCTAAAAAACGCAAAACTTCAGGTACATTCCCGACCGTGAAGGCCTTTTGTCTCTTAAGTCTCTGATATGCGCTTTTGCCGCATTTGGAGATCTATTCTTATTTCCTGCTTCGTAGTTCCTCTGAGAGGCATTGGCCTCGTGCAGGACTTTCGGGGCAATTTAGATTGCTACTTCGGCACTTGATATCATAAGGCTTCGTGATTGTTTATTGTCCTTCGTCAGATGGCTTCTCGTAGATTCAATTTGATTGTTGCCAACATAAAATGAAGCAGTCGGCGTTTTAATCATCATTGATTCTTTTTGACTCTTTCTTAAACAAGTTTTTATCTCCAAGATGTGAGCTTTTTCGTGAGCTGTTTTCTCATATACGAAATTTGTGGAAATGTTCCCTCAGAAGATATACACTCGACTTGAGAAGGCGGTTATGCTAAATCTGTACGTTTATCGCTTGAAAACGTCTGCGGCGAGACGCGTTTGAACTGCTCCGTTTCCTATTTTGGTATTCTGCCGACTGAACTATTTCAGAGATGCCCACTGGATGGGCTACCTAATCTGCAATCAATTTCTCGGCATGGCGGCACTAACCTATGCAATAAATTTACTGCATTTACAAGTACTTTTGACTGTTCACGCTAATAACAGTTCAGAATTTATGTGCCGAATGAGGGAATCGTAGTTATTTCCCAGCCACCTATACGTCCGCACAACTAAACAACCATTTTCATGTTAAGGGTATTTAAAAGCCTAGGTTGCTACGCCGAGTTCTTATTAATGGTAATTTTGACCAACAGGTTGAAACAAATGACATTATGACCCGTTGTTGATCCTATATGTACTTTTATGTTTGGCGGACAACTTTATTACTTTATCATATCCTGCCACCCTAACTTTAGGATTCTCCGAAGACAACCAAGATAGAGATGATTGATTTTCCACGCCTGTTTCATGTACGGCCTAGGTCACTGCTTCATACAGCAGCGTCGTCAAGATAACAGCCTTATACATCTCAAGTTTGATGTTGAAATGGAAACTGCGACAACCCCATACGGGATTCTGCAGCCGGTCGATGACCTGGCTGGCTTTCGAGATCCAATATGCCACTTCGTCGTCGACTTTGATGCAGCGCGAGAGTGTTCTGCCTAAATAGCCTAGGTTGTCCATGGTTTTCAGTCGGGTGCCGTTGACATGGATGCGAGGAGCGTCGTATACGGCGCTCGGTAATGGGTTGTGCATAGGCACCACTTTGTCCCTGTTTATGGTCAGCTCAAGTTCGCGCAGCCGCAGACGAAGTCCAGACTGCAGCATCTCTGTTTCTGTCGTGGTGTTGAGTGCGATCGTCCGCGAAGAGCAGATTGTGGAAAATAGTCGTGGACAAGGGCACCGGGGCCTGCATGCGCCGGCTATTGGGAAGTTGGCCATCGGTCCTGTAGGCGGTCCAGATACCACGGTGCTCATCGCAGTAGTCGTCCATCGGCATGGCAGAAAACATGAGGCCGAAAAGGATGGGAGCTGGTACGCAGCCCTGATTCACTCGGTTGGTCACTGCGAATGTTTCTGAGACGGTCCTATTGTCCGTAGGCACGTCATCCCGTCGTGGAGCTTACGCACCATGTGCGCGAATCCCACAGGACAGCCGAATTTCTTCATGATTTCCCAGACTCCATCACGATTCACCGTACTCAAGGCTTTCATCGGGTCCTCAAAGGTAGTATGGAAGTTGGTTCGCATTTCTCACGCAACCGCGAAGATCATGTCGGTTGTTTCGGGGTGTCATCGCAAGCCACACTGTTTCCGCAAGAAGTCCCTGTTCTAGATATTCACTGGGACGGTTGAGAACGATGCGAGCAAAGATCTTCCGAACAATTTTGAACAAGAAAATGCCTCTGTCTGTATCACAGAGTTCGCACTTCCCATTTTGCTTGCAAATATGGGCGATTTTCGCGTCGCATTCGTCATCCTCACGTCGGCACCGACGATGACCTGTGTCAGGCAGGGGAATTATCCCACAATGTCGTTTCGGATGGCAAATATGACGCCAGCGTCGAGTCGTTCTGCGTTCGGGCAGTCGCTCCGGAATATGTTGCCGGCACCCACCTCCATTTGGCCCTGTTCGGGGAAGTGGGTCTTGCTGAGACCGACGATGTCCACCTGAAGTCTATTGTCAAGTTCAAATTTTGTTCGGTAAAACTCTCGCGTCGTAGAAAACACGCACGGGTGCACAAATGTAGTCTAGGGCAGCCAATAGCCTAGAAAACCGCCTGAATCTGGGACAATGTCGATTTCCGCTAAACATGTAGGCGTTTGATTGATAAGATTACTTAGAAGCATATTCCACGTGAGAAAAGAACATTTTCAGAGACAGGCCTGGCGAATAAGTAGAATGCGTAAAATGATCATCTCAATTTCCGCCATCATGTGTTTTTAGTCAGGTCACACAGTACGGGGTCTCGTCGACAAACTTATCTCTAGACGTCTCCTGGATCTCCAAAGGGCCAGTTTTAGGACGCCGGGGCTCAGATTTGGGTACGTGGAGCAGTGAACGAGTGCTGTAAATAATCTATATGACTCAAAAGGGGATTTCACAATAGCATCCGAAACTAAAAGTTCAGCGTTTAAGCGCACGTGCTTCTCTGCCCGCCCCTTAACAAAGGACCCATTTCTATACGGATCTGGATGCACGACTGTAATCGAAAGGGTAAATAACAACGCTAAAACCCTGCTTGCGACGACAGCGACTTTGTAACGTCACGTCTGTGCTCTGCATCCAATGAGACAAAGGCACCGTACCACGAATTGCTGTGCCGGTCTGATGAGGTCAGTGCCGAAGGATATAGATGACCGGACCGTCTGAGTGGCATCTCCTACGACAATCTTCTGAATTTGGCAGCGACGTCGTGCCGTTGCATGACATTGCGCGGTCGCATGTCGTTGCGCTTTACAGTTATTATCTCTTAGATTTGCACGGTGTTACTCTGCGGCAATCTATTAAGGCATAAAACTGCTTTCTGTTAGACATTCATGCCTGAGAAGTATGTACATACGAAGTTCACGTCTCGTAGAGACAATTTCTATGCCAGGATGTCCCATCTCCAAGCTCCGTGCACTTAGGCGCCCCCCTTCCTGTCAAGCTCTTGTGTTTGACAATTTACACTGTCTAGTATACCATCGTCCCTGCTGTACGCCGCTCCGACGGGTAAACGTGAATAGTTTGCTGGGAAAGCCCGCCTGCGAACAATCAGACATTCCCGATTTTACGAACGTCTACCCCTCTTTCTTTCCTTTGTTCGTCTTTGGCTGCGTTTTGAGTAAATGGCCAACCATTCCGTTGTGCATTCACATTTCACTACCTCTTCATCGTTACTCTTCATCTTTAGTTAGCGACGAACCGTCCACTGCTAATGCCCAGGAGAGCAGTCGCCCAACTCCTCTTAACATGATAATGCAGCTTCGCAAAGCGGCTAACCACAACCTTCTTCTGTCCGGTATTGCTTATTCGGAGGAAATGCTGAAGGAACTCTCCGTCATACTGCAGTCCGATCCAACTCATGCCGAGGCTGATCCAGCTCTTGTCTTCGAAGACCTCTGCGCCCTCTCTGATCACCAAGTCCATAAAGTCTGTCGTCTGTATGATGTAAGTCGAAAGAAACGGCGATTTTGCCCGATTTTGCCCCCCCCCCAAGGTGTGTTCAAAGGCATATTCATTTGATGTTTCTATATTTCTTTGCCCCATAGGTCTTGAATCCGTTCGCGCTTCCCCCAGAGGCGCTGTTGGAAGGTTCAGGCAAACTTAAGTGGCTGGATGCTAACATCCCCCGATTACTGAAAGAGGGACATAGAATCCTCATCTTCAGCCAGTTGGTTATCGTACTCGACATCGTGGGGGAGTACTTGGTCAATAAAGGCAACAAATTTCTTCGACTGGATGGCTCCACACCTGTGCAGGATCGACAAACTCTGATTGACACATTCAACGAGTAATTTATTTTGCCAAAGATCGTCTTTCACTTTTCCTAGAATACTCCATTTTTCTTGTCTTATGATATTTTTACCGTCGTTTCTAGCTGTTTGTAATTAGCTGCTGAGTGTGCACATCTGCACAGTTTTTTTCTAATTGAAAAACCAGTCCTTATTGATGGTCGTTGTTTTAAATGCGTTTTCCTGGTCTAGACTCCACATTGAAGAGAACTAAAACAGTTGTCCGAGTCTTACTCCAGATGAATTTTATGGTGAATGCGTATAGGGGTTTTCGCCATTGATATATTTTGGAGATGAATTGGTCTTGCAGTCTCAGGCTTTTAAGTGCCTTTGTCGAGCGGGACACGCAACCTCTCCTAACTTGAACCTGCGAACTCCTTTTTAGTGATGAGACCTACGAAATCTTCCTGTTGTCTACGAAGGCAGGAGGTCTTGGCATCAGTCTTACTGGTGCTGATATTGTGATTCTTCATGATCTTGATTTCAACCCTTACAACGATCGCCAGGCTGCCGACAGATGCCATCGTTTGGGCCAGACAAGGTAAGTATTTGATGTCCTCGTTTCTTCAATTTATTTGCCACCTGTCTTTCAAGATCGTTCCTAGGACGTTTAAACCTTCAACTTCACAGCGGAACATACAGTGCGTGACCTATCTCATAAAATGTTGGCTGAAATTCTGAAATGCGTTTATAATTAGGAAGGATTACTTGGTCGCGGTTGTGATACTGATTATCTTAAGGCATACTGTTATAACATTTTCGACTCGGCAGGATGTCGGCTTTTAAATGCATTTCTTTTCAATCTCCTGTAGAGAGCTTTCTCGGTAAAAAATGACTACTTAAGTAGCATGCATTTTCCCATTGATTTTCGATGGCCTTGGAAATTCAAATATATTTTATAGAAACCACAAACAAAAATATGCTTTCTTTTAGTCAATCAATAGAGAATTACGTCTTCTTTATATTTTATGCTTAAAGAAGGAGTATAATTAGGTTTAAAAAAGTTTCCAATTATGAGACTTTTTAAGACCGCGATATATCCATTCACATAGCATCGTACCTGGCCGTTTACCCCTGCTCCTCATGAAATGTCCAACACGGTCCGCATCCATTGCAAAATTTTATGGACACTGTATGATGTCTCTTTAATGACACAGAAAAATATGGGATTTTCTTTACGCGGAACGCGTGCACCTTGTAGAGTGTAATCACTAAGCACTACTGCAACGAATAATCAGGCTCCAAATTTTTCGGCAATTAGAAAACTTATTTAAAACCTAATTATACTCCTCCCTTAAGTATAAAATATAAAGAAGACGTGATTCTCTATTGATTGATTAAAAGAAAACATTTTTGTTTGTGGTTTCTATAAAATATATTTGAATTTCCAAGACCATCGAAAATCAATGGGAAAAATGCATGCTACTTAAGTAGTCATTTTTTTACCGAGAAAGCTCTCTACAGGAGATTAAAAAGAAGTGCATTTAAAAGCCGACATCCTGCCGAGTCCAAAATGTTATACGAGTATGTCTTAAGATAATCCGTATCACAACCGCGACCAAGTAATCCTTCCTAATCGAAAACGCATTTCAGAACTTCAGCCAATATTTCATGAGATAGGTCACGCACTGTACCTTTTGGAGTTGCCTCGTTCACTAAAATGTACGCTCTGGAGCTCCTAGGTCTGTTAGAAATATCGTCTCTACTGGTCTTGATCCTAATATCCATTTGACCTTTTTTCCTAGTTTAATTCAACTAGCACCACACGACCTGTTCAGCACGAAGTTTGCAACAATACCCAGCGGGCTTTTATGCCCTTTTCTGAAGTTTTGACAGTTGGCTCTCGGAAGTTCTCGAGAGTATGTCTGTCTGTAGAAGTACTGGTAAAAATGTCCACTTCCATATTTCAGGCCCGTCCACGTGATCCGCCTTGTCTCGGAGGGCACCGTCGAAGAGAGCATCTGGCGAACTGCTGAGGAGAAACTACGGTTGGAGGAGGACGTCACCGATTTTGCCCGCGAGGAGGGTGTCGGTCAGCAGGCTGACAAGAAACGCGATCAGAACGGAGCAACCGTCGCTTGCATATCAGAGGATGTCGAGGACAGCGATTCCGTGGCAGCTGATTATGTTACATCTCAAGGTGTGTCCGGTGGGAAACGTTTGCTTCAAAGTGACATAATCAAGTACCTCTCTGAGGCCCTCAGTTCTTACAGTCGTCTGGAGTCGCAGTCTAATTCGCAGTAATTTGTAGCCACACCGTAAACTCTTAACCTTTTCCCCGTGTACACAATCACCCAAATACACACGCGCACTTATGTGAAAGACTCGATCTATCTTGGGTTACGGAGTATTATCACTTTTGTACTTTTTGGCATATTTTATTAACGACCTAGAAGATGTTTGTGTGCCTATTCGTATCACGACTAAGTATCGGCCGTCTTTTCCCGCATCAGTTTACGCTTATACGCTTGGTTCTTTTTTCATTTTGATTACGGGTACTGATCAGCCTCCCGTTCTCATCTCCCTTACGGGTGCTACTCACGTCTCTCTGTCTTCGCCCTCCCCTCTACCGTATCTTTTCACCCTCCACTCGATGAATGCTGTAAATTTTGTGCTTTCGAATTGAGTAAATATTTCTATTAAATTCGTGCCGATACGGTGTCTTGGTTAGTTCATAAACTTGACGGTCGCTGGTTGGGTCTGTTGGCAAATGCGACTAAGTTTGTGTACACGTCGCGCTTCGTAAGATCGAACGCTCTGTTGTGGAACCAAAATTATCTGATCGAGTCCAATGTGGCATTGTGCGTCATATCTGTTCACGCAGAAGTTCGAAGTTATAGTAGGAGTAACTGCCTTTTCACCGATATGGCGGTGGGACTGACGGTTGGTGTCAGGACGATTTCTCGCAGTTCCATTCGTTCGTATGCTCTCTGCCGGCGTGTTAACTAAGTCCTCACGGTTTTATGCATTCGCTTACGAAAATCCGGTCCCCTTGACTCGGGGTCGTTTTGAGACCAGTTGTGCGCGACCACATGTTCGCATGGCTAGTTTATGTGTGTTTTGCAGTGAGCCATCTGAGTCTTTATGGCCTACCTCTTTTAATAACTATAAATGGAGGCAGACGTAGTAGAATCCGAGGCCGCTAGACTGTCCTGAACAGGGAGCACAAAGTATAACTCGTTGAGTAGGTCGGATCAGGGCTGCCTGCCTTTTTTCGGAGTTATCAACTTGGGACAGTTGGGATTTGCGTATAACCATAGTTGATGGTGATTTTTAGCAAAATCCGTCGTCAAACCTTGCGGGTTTGCCTCCGTGCCTACCGAGAAACCCAGCAGGTGCCACAGCAACTCAACATGCTCCTCACTACAATAAATCTGATGCGCTAAAAATCGTAGTTTGGAAGGCTGCCAACTGAAAAGATAGCCCCCTCCCCTCTCAGGCCAGCGCTGTGTGCAAGTGGGATGACTGACTAGAGGACTGAGGGTCAGGTTTTGCAGCCCGTTTATGGAGTTCTGACTAACAAGATCCGATCTGCCCTCGGCGAAGACCTTGTACCTTCGGTCTGGGCTAAGTCGTGCGTGACATGCAGACGGGTTGTTCAGCTCTTACAGCCACTTCGTTCGAGCCCACCTCCGATCATCTTGACATTGAAGTCCGATGCATGAGGGAGGTCGTGTGGTGGTCGGTGCGCTAGTCTGCAATCACTGTAATTGTGCGCAAGTCACTGTCACACCCACCACCTCGTGAAGCATCGTGGACGTCGTCGCTCGCGACGGTTGAACTGTTACGTGCGTGAACGGATGAAGTCTGGTCACTAATCATGAAATGTTCTCAGATAGAAATGATCACTGGAATGAGGTTTCGATACTGTGGGACATGAGACAACCACAGGTCTATTATCAGCTTGTGACATCGAGTTATCAACTGTCCCATCAGCATTTTCGTTGGCGGGATATACATTCTTTGCGACGGACCATATCGTCCCAGCCATTATGGTCTGCTCATCTACACTGCATTTAACATATTTGACATGTGTTGTTGTATGCTATTTCGCAGGATGTGTACGTGCGATTCGAGATGTTTTACTCCCTGCCAGTGTATACTGCCGTAACCTAACTGGATGAGCACACTGTTTGGTGAGGGTGCCGCTGGAGAGTGGACGGTGAGGTTTGGATTGAACAAACTGACGGGAAAATCAGCAGAATGACAAGGGGAGTGAAATGATCACTTCTGGCTTATTAGCCGTTATCAGCCGGCCATACCCAATTCCGGGGTGTGAAGCCTCCGAGGATCGATCCCGCGACCTGTTGGTTGGAAGTCCAACGCCTCAACCCCTAAGCCGCGGGCTCGTTGTACTATTGGTTGCAATCGGGTATATTAGCGATTACAGAGCGGCTGCTGGCGGGGCTCGAGTGTGAGACCCAAGGTGCGAGTGAGTCCCGTAGCACGATCGGTGAGCGCCATCCTCTACCATGGGACAATCAACCCCGAGGCGGGAGATTGGCGAATCCTCCTGAAACAGTTCGCCGGCTTTCAGCACAGCCGCCTCTCGATACACCGAGATCACGGGGAAGATAAGGAAGATCAGCAAACTCATTCTAATAGGAGAAGCTTAAAATTGACAAGTTCGTTGTTTTGAAATCTGTCCCGTTTCATTTATTTTCAGTAAGGACGATTCATCTGTAAATTTTATCGTGAAACGCATAGGAAAGTAGGCAATTTACGACAAATTTTGACGTTCAGCACAACTGTTTTACGGACATCAAACTCTAGGACATCAAAACTGAGCTTACATCTTCTTGTGACGTCCTCTTCTGTTTCCAGAAAATTGATGAAGTAATCACGACAACTAATGTCTGTACCAAAGGTCGAAGTTGTGCTGATCGTCTGTTGTAGACCAAAAGGATTAAGTCCCTTTGAATGACAATTCTCGCCCACGTGTTTCCGTTCAGAAGCTGAATCAGCTGGACCATGAAGATCCGCCGGGTTTGTATACACGGACCTGTCCTCCACGGACTATCACTTCCTTAGCATTTAAAACTCTTCGTTTGGGAAAATTTTTTTTGATACACAGTTTCCGTCAAGCCGGTTCTCGAAGGATTTTTTGACTCAAGAGTTCCGTAATTTTTCCAAAGTGGCATTAACATACTTTTGTCCCGTCGTCAAAATGCGCCAATTGCTGTGATACATATTTTGATTAATAAGTTTTAGTCAAAGAAAGTTGTTTTAACTTAGACTTGGCCGTTTTCGCATATTTTATAACCCGACAATACACGATGAACGTCCGCCCATTAGTTGGGCAGTTTTCAAGTCCCAGCGTGGATCCTTATTGAACTAAAATAACTCCTTAGGTAGAATGCAACTTTCCGTTTGACAGCGTTCATATGAAGTAATTAATATTCCAAGGAAGAGGTGCACAAAACACACTCTAAATGATATTTTGCACAAATTTGCATCCCCTGTAAGTGCTGTGCTTAAAAGAATGTGCGACGATACTCAAGAGTCTACAGCCGGGATGATTTACAGGTATCGCGTTAATCAACCAGGCTACAAGACACGCTCGTTCCATTGTGCCTTACAGTCTAGACTAGAGTCCTCACAGACAGTTGCATATTGACAAGTAATATTCACAGGAAAGAGTCTCAATAAAGGCAAGGACGACTGGAATAGCCGACTCTGAACTATTGCCTGTCGTCAGCCAACCATACTCAAGCCCAGGTTTGCAGGATCTGCGAGTCGAATCTGGAGTCTTTTGATAATTGAGTGTTTTCAAGCTCTACACCGTACCACTGAGCAACGTGCTCGTTGTCCTGTCGGCAGTAATTCAGAATACTCACTATCGTAGGAGGTGCGTTTGCCGATCCGGTTACGAAATGAACGTGTTATGCAATCTGACGACGGTTAGTAGGCCAGACATGGGTATTGCAGTCTCCTCTGTCTTTTGGATACTTCTTCCAGTATGCCAGGAAACGTGGGCGTGCTCATTTACTTAGTCTAATATCGGCAGTTTCATTAGCGTGACTTACGAAGTTTACAACGCAATCCATACCGACGACAGTGCTTTGTATGCATTAGAAGGTCCCATAATAGAGACATGGGTAGGAATCGTTTATATACGCCCACCTAGCAGGACCCGGGAACAGAAAAGCCCCCTTCGTAATACAGGCGGACTAGCGCTGAATTTCTGGATGGGGATCTATTCCCGTGCCCTAATTCAAAAGCGAGCTTCGAACATAAACATTAATCGTAACCCCAGTTTTAACCCCAACCCCAACCCACTCTTAAACCTAACATTAGCCTTAACTGTAATACTCAACTTAACTCCAACCCTTGCTCTAACCATAACCTTAACTGAGATAGCACGATATACCATAAATGACGGCACGGGTACCAGCTAGTGTTACTGGCCGCCTTTTGTCAGTTTATGAATATTAAACGGCTAGTCCACATCAGCTAATGAACTTCGGCCCACATAATCGTATCAAACTTCGGTCTGGGCCTTCAAAGTCTCTAATAGACTGATTTGCTCCAAATTAGCGATTAATTTCTGGGGAAGCTAAAAGCTGTGTCCCTGTTCTATCAAGGAATGGGGGGAGACATAAAAACATCACACCGAAACTTGAGGTGATTATTGGAACTGCTGTTTACTACGTAATTCAGGAGTCCAAGGAACGCCTAAAGTAGATGTCGGTAATGTCTAAAAATTCGCAGAGATCGGTGAACCTTTTAAAGTAAAATCGTCGGTCTTTCGGGCGCGCAATCCAATGACGCAATTGTCTACGAAATGGGAATAAAACAATTTTTTATTAATACATTGTGAGAAACATAATTCGATAAATGCAATCATAGACAGTCGTTCAAAGAATAATATTAATAATTTTTATTAAAGATACGTCAGGGTTCCATCAAAGCAAGTAAAAATAAATTTACATGCGAATTTTAGACGAGGTAGGCAAAATCTGTACAAAGTGCAATTCATAGTTTTTGAAGTAGTAGTCCGTCAAGAAAAGAGAGAATCGAGGGGTGAAAAAAAACTTCACAGGAAAATTTAAAAATTATTGGATTAATTTTATAGGAGAAAAAACCCTTAAAGTGAGTTTTAAAAGTCCTTTAAAAATTAATTTTTCGAAGTTCGATCCACGTAGATGTCTGTTAGTATGCTCACCCAAAGCCAGAGAAGGTAAATCTGACTCCGTGCTTAAGAAATGGGCTTAAAATAACTTTAAGAACTTTAAATGCAACGT